GTCAAACTTGAAAAAAACTTAACACCTTACAATATAAGGCTGAGGGCGCGATTCTAGGAGCGATGAAAGGGACTTCATACGAAAAAGTTTGCTCTGAACTCGGGTGGGCTCCCTTTTACGTGAAAAAAGATGCGAATTCAAATACTGTAAGTTATGGCATGTTCGATGTTTATCGACTATGTCTTTTCTACGAAGTGATAAAAGGACAAGTACCCCTTAGAGATTTATTATAAGTTATCCATTGCGCAGCCAAGCACGAGGGCTGCTACCGTCTCATAATGGTAGTCTGCTTGTACTCAGGAATAGTTTTATACTATCTACCATTTAATTATGCAACAATTTATCAATCGATGTAAAAAATTCGAAAAACTCGGCAACGTTTAAATTTAAAATGAAACAACCGTTTTTACAGATATTGAATCTTTCACATGTGACTGAAAGAATTTTGGAAATAATTCTTTAATAATTAAATATTATTCGATTGGGTATCACACAATTGAATGAGGATTTTGGCTAAAAGACATATAGTGGCTGTCCCCGAGTGCGAATATAAAAGAGAATTATCATCTCATTTTTTCTTTTTTTGTGCAAAGTATATTGCACAACGTTCAGAACTATTAAAAACGTTTCAGTCTATACTTCAAATAATCGACGTAACAATAAATCATTTACTTTTTAAAAACAATGACATGCTTCCTCTCGAAAAAGATAAAATCAAAATCCTATACGCGAATAAATGTTATTATAATTACTTTTACAGCAGTAAACATAACTTAAGTAAATTATCTCAAGGCTCTCGAGCAAACAATAAAAGGACTTGTAAAAGTGTTTTTAGGAATCTAGAATCTGTCTGGAAATGTAGTTCCTAACCCGACGCACGTATCCGCTTTCAACAGACTAGACGAAATTTCCTTTGACAAAGTCACATTTAAAGGAATTTGGAATCGGTTCTAATCTTCAGAAGCAGTTCCGGATGTTTATTCGAAGGCTGCTGCATGGTTAAAAAATTCTCGGACCATGCAGCAGCCTTCGAAGAAACATCCGGAACTGCTTCTGAATATTAGAACCGATCGAAAATTCCACCATGCAATGATCACACTTCGAGGATAGGTTTTGTAAAACACTCACGTTTTTAACAGATGTCAGATCGGAACAAAGAATCAGATCTAGGCATGTGTTAGAAGCTGGTCTCGTTATCTGAGAAACAAGCTGATGAAGACCCTCATTAGATGCGAACTGAAACATAATCTGTCCGGAAGGCGTCGTAGGATGAGTTGGACACCAAGAAAACAGTGACTATTAAGATCCCCTATGAATATAACAGATTCATAGTTTACATTACTTTTTTGCATTAAATCCAAAGAGTGACTCAAATGAGCAGCAAATTTAGTTGCGTCATGCCATTTAGGCCTGTAGCATAAACAAATCAGAAATTTTTGCTAGTGAGAGGTTTTCAGACTGATAAAGCTTGTTTCAAAATCTTTGTTTTCATAGCATGTTCAGTGGCGACGCGAAGAGGTTGGGAGCATGGGAGGGGTAAATCCAAAAATGGGAGTAAGGTCTCCAAAAATAAGCCCCTGATTCTCCGAGCTCATGGTGAAGTATAAATAATTGATGAGCATCACTATTAACTTTGCCTAAACGTTACATTCACTGTAGTTTTCTCAGACGTAGACGGAAAAAAATAGAAATAAGTTATCTAAGTCGGTTAAGAAAGCTTCTTCAAACAACACATTTAATATCAGTTTTCGGAGAAAGCAGCACTTTAGTATTCGAAAAAATCCAAATCGGAGTAAATCATCCCTCAGGTTTCTCCGAAATTCGGAGTAAATCGTTCATATTTTTATCACAAATTGGGACCCTTCGTTTCCCGCCAACGTAGAATTGTACTCCCCAGCAGATTCCTGAAGACTTCTGAAACAAGAGAAAAAACGTTTCCTTTTTGATAGGATAAATTCTTTTCCAACTCTACAACACTTTTGCTTATTTCTTTCTCGTCACTCTTTTTTCTTTTTTGTTTTTTTGTTTACGTATTGTTGTTTTTTCTTATTGTTATTATTGTCACTTTTGTCACGTTCAACTTCAGCCAACATGCAATGAGTCAGCTCGATTTGTTGGAAAATAAAAAAGTTTAGATTAACTTATCGTTATCATGCACTGAGATTTATAATTATTTCTTATCAACGCCAGCACTGCTTAAACTTATTCATTCTAATCAAAAATATACAGTCAAAAAACAACGTGTCAATTAAAATCGAGATTTACATTTCTGTTTGTTGTTCTCGTATGTTTTATTGAGTGAAAAATCACAACTCTGCGTGTGAAAAAAGATGAAATTAGACCAAGAAAAAGCGTTTCCATTTTTTCCGCAATTTTTTGCATTTTGGAATTTCTATTCCGCATTTCTGACCTGAGCATCTGGAAACCCTGATCTCTACATCTCTTACAGTAAAGTACACCCATATTTCTAGTCAACCCATACCCGTGCTAGTTTTACTTCTTTTACTTTTTGTTTTCATTTGTTTATTTGATCTATCTCTGTCCATTACTCTAGTTTTCTTTTATCAAATTGTCTTTGCTATTTTATTTGCTCGAGTCCTTGTTATTACAGATCGGGGATCTTTGATGACTCTCACTTTTCGTGAATAAATAAATAAACGTTAAAAACAACGAAATTCAAGGAAGTCTAAGAGAACTATTTAATATTATTCAATGTATACTGGTTCCTGGATACAATTTATACAGACAAACTGGAATAAAATCTAACATTACTCAACGAAAACTAACAATTTATTCAAATATTCAAGAAGAAAGATGAAAATACAGTACAAGTTTCCGCTTATAGCATTAAAGGCACGAAAAACCAGAGTCAGAATAGAAAGTGGTGAAATTCGGGATAGAAATCACAGAAAAAATAAGTCCACTTACTTGTATGATTCCTATTTTTCAGGATTATTTTCGAAAAAATTTTCATTTTACGGATCCGGCATTGAAAATTTAGAAATATGCAGATCTCAAAAAACCTAGATTTATAGGATTGTACTTGTTATTCATGCGCATTAACACAATATGATTGTTCATAAAAAGCTGTCTTTGAGGAGATCTAAGGCTAATACACACCGAAAAATTGTTGGACCTCAACCCAAAATTTGTCATATGTAAGATAATCAATTTATGGAGAGTTTTTGAGTCTGCAGTTGAAGAGTTAGGTAATATCCTTCAGAGTATAATTATTCGTAATAATTGCAAAAAAGACTATCGTCGAACATGTTTGAAAACTTTTGTTTCTTGATCATTGGTAGATATAAAAGAACTGAATTTCATGCAACTGCAAAAACATTTTTTAACATCCTTTCTTATACTCCTCTAAAAGGATCGACGCTTCATTACTCCTTTAGGTGGCATACCGTCTATCGTATCTCTGGATGAACATGTGTTTTTGTTTGATTGCAGTTTCGCACCAGAAGGAAAAAGCGTTGTGTAGTTAAAAATAGTGACATAGTAGAAGGTATTCCCTTGATCTAATGTACACGTTAAGTTTTTCGTTTATTAATAGAAAAACGAAAAAACAAGCAAAAAAATGTGAAAAATGAGAAGAATGAATAGAGAAATACAGCAAATAATAATGACATGAAGACAAAAAAAAAAAAGAAAACAACATATGTTTTTAAAATATCTAATCTAGGCAAGAGCATATAGAGTATCTCTCAAACAACTATATTTTCTCGATTGTTTCTATTATAAACTAAGAGCAGAGTCAAATCAATACTAGAAAAGCAACACACGTACATATACGTACAGAAATGATGACTCTATGCTTGTTAAATTATAATATCTGAGAGATAAAAATACACAACAAGAACAAATACATGAAAATTCATTCTCATAAAGATAAGCTCATCATTCGAAAGAAACGTGTATTTATTGAGCAGTACAATGGATGTTCATTTGTTCTTAAAACGAGATTCATTAAAATAGTATTACACTATTTTATTTACGTATGTATGTGTGTATTAATAAGGAAAAAAATTAATTTTTATGATTTCCTATTTACAAATAGAAACAGAGAAAAGATAGACAGACACACATAGATAACACAAAACAGTCTAAATGAAAAGCAAAAAAGAAGCTTAATTAACCACAAAAATAAGGACAAAAGAAAAACAGTACATGAGAGAGAAAGTATTGAAAATAGATACGGTAATTCGCTATCATGTACTCCAACAAGAATAACAACACTCAAAATGTGCTGTACACACACATAGTAATTCTTATTTTTCTAAGAAAACAACGTTTTTTCTTGTGAATACTTTTCACAACATCCAAATATAAATTTTGAAATAAAAAAAACAAAACAAACAAACAAAAGAGTAGAAACTAGAGGCCAACTATGCTGTGCAATAATTGGAGAGACAGACAGCTGAGTGAAATGGTAGTAAGACAATTAGTACATCTGAAGAACAAAAGGATAAAATATCCCTGGAGTATTTTCAACTATTTTTGAACAATTTAAGGCATCAGATACTAACTGAACAAATTTACAGCTTGAATATTTACTTGATATACAGAGTATAAATCTATCATAGAACGTAATTATCTTATAGAGAAAAAGGGTTAAATGTTTGAGAATATGCTCGTATTTTCTCTACTAATTACATCATAATTAAAAAATAACTTCTAATTCTTCATATATATCACTTAAATCTCTACGATCAAGCATAAATGAGAACGAGTGACTAAGTGAAAAAAAAAAGAAAAGATGTGTGGAAAGAAGAATTTTTTTCTGTTAAAAAGCAATAAGTTTCTTTTCATTTTGTTCAGTCCACTTAAAAAAAGAAATAATTAATTACGCAGGTGGATGATCTAATGAGAAAATGATGATGATGATGATGATGAATGATAAAAATCTTATGAAGTTTATTCAAAATGATTTTTCATTATTTGAAGAATAAATGAGTAATAGATAATAATTTTAATATGTATCGATACGTTTCACATTTTTATTTTATACGTCGTGGAATTCGTCGATCAGAATGTGCCCAAATAAATCTAAAGCAACAAAAAGACTTTAAAATTCAAATACAAATGTTACTGTAAGAGCTTTATTCTTCTAGAATATGGACGGAATAAATTTTATTATAGTATTTTCGAACTTAAACTATCAAAAAAAAACACAAAATTCATTTTGCACAAATAAAGGTTTAGGTAGATAAACTTAGTTTTTCTGTATAAAATTATGTAGTTTTAACAATAACAGTACTTTCTCACCGGTAACGTCAAGAATGAGTCTTCTTACAGCTCAATACGAAATAGATGGCAAATGAATGAAACAATGAATATTCATGAGAATAACTGTTAAGGAAGGTCATCATTATCGACTAGATAAGACATCAATTTTTGTCACTTAGAAGCGCGAAATCAGACTTTACTTTCCTAATCATAACTATTTTTGGAGCTTATACAATCTTTGGTACTTTCATCATATGCCATGAATTGTGTGTGTATATGCTTTTCTTCTTACCGATAGAAACATCCAGCGATTGCCGCACCAGCGAGAGGACCAACCTAAATAAGGAACAATACGTTATTATAGGCATTTATTGAATATAAATGAATTTGACGAAAAACTCGTTACCCAATAAACATAATGATCTTTCCATTCATTTGCAAATATTGCTGGACCTAATGAACGTGCTGGATTTAATGAACCGCCTGTAAATGCACCAGCTGCTAAGATACATGCAACAAGTGTAAATCCTATCAATACTGGAGCAAGACCAGTTTTCGACTTTGTATCTAATGCAACCTAAATAAAAATGATTACTGTAGATTACTCATGTATAAAAGATTAAAAGTATATACCATCAATATAATTGTAATAAATACGAATGTAACAAGTAATTCAATTAATATTCCCTCCCACCATTTTACTGTATCTTCGGTATAAAAGACGATATTATTATCGGGAAGCGTGTGGTTAAAAGCTACATATGTACTTAACACTGTAGCTCCTCCTCTGCATCTTGCATAAACTCCATCTCGTAAGAGCATCTGTAAGAGAAAATCACACATTCACAATCAATAATCCAAAAATATGTCAGTACGACTTTACTTTAGCGATACCGCCTGCAGCTATGCCACCCAAAAGTTGCATAACAAAATATAAAACAGCCATTACTGGTTGAACTTCACCAGCTAATAAGACACCAAGTGTTACAGACGGATTAAAATGAACACCACTAGAAATAAATTGAGAACGTGATAATTTTAATTAATATAAAATAAAATTCACTTTTCGCACCTTATATGACCAAAACTGGCTGCAAATACCATTAGTGCTAATCCAAATGCAAATGCAGCGGCCACAACACCTGGACCCGCACTGCATACTCCAAATAAGCCAATTAAAACAAAAAAGCATGTTCCAATCTAAAATGGACGAAATAAAATGAATCAAAGTTGTTTTATAAAACAAAAAAAAATTAAGAATCAATACTTACCAATTCAACCAATAATGGACGAATAACAGAAATAAATTTTCCTTTATTGTCAGGATCACCTTCTTTTCCATCAACATTCCTAAAAAAAAACATATTAGAATAGTATTATAACTTTCAATAAATATTAGATCTAAATGACAGTAACAATAGTATCCATCAGATTATCGACATTCTCTCATTGACTTCAGGGAAAACTTTCGTATTTTTATATTTAAATTTATCAAACATATCGACTCAAAGAGAAGAGTATAAAAATATTTTCATAATTAAAACATCTTTAGGATCCATAACACATTGTCTAATTATACACAAAATTCAACTACTCATTCTTTTCATTTTTGTTTTCATCAATAATTGATTCATTTTTTCTTATTTTATATCAAACACATACTGACACTCTATAGAACAATTCAATCAATCTGTTGTATTCTATATATCAAGAATTATTTTTCTCATCATATCATAGATTTTTATCTTCACTTATATTCATTCACTTTGATATCATACGAATATTTTTAAATTGTTCAAAAAAAGATTATTTATTTGTAAGAAGAAATTGATAAGTGATTTTTACTCTTGTAACTGTACTATTCAAATATATGTTTAAAATGAAAGAATGTTATTATAATCTAATTGCATACAAAAATAAGCATCATCTATGAACAAAGTAATTCATTATTTGTTTATTCACTTAAATAAAATACTAAAAATATACAAAAGAATGATCAAACGACTGGTGGCAAAAAAAAAAATTTTTTTTGCCAATAGCAAAATTTTTACACAAATTCATGGAGAAAAGAGGCATCTACATCATTTTTTTCTCTAGCAAAATTAATCATTACACTTCTATTATCGTCATCATATCATAGATCAGTGTATAGATTTAATCAAACTAGTCTCTTAGCTAAGAAAAGAATCGTGGCTATCAATAGAATCTCACATATTCTTTAAATCTATACGAGTCATTTTACTCTCACATTTTCTTTTCCGAACAACTCCGTAAAAGAACAATTCTTGTTACACTTTTTAAATAGAAAATAAAATAGGGTTATATATATTCACGTATAAATATTAACTATAAATTCATTGTTAAACGATTTGTATTTCAACGAATGTTTGATTTTAATAGCCAAATAAGACAATCCTATACACATCATCAGTATAATTATCTTTGTTCGGTTATAGTACATATTTACTATTATAAAAATATAATAAAATTTAGATTATTTTTTTAGCTTATTGACTAAAAAATATAAAAAAACAAAAAAAAAATCAATAGTTGCTCAATAGTTGACACTATTTAATAAATTATTAAAGTTTCTGTCTGTGGTTCAATAATTTAAATTCTAGTTATCTACCAATGAATTAATACATTTATTAACAATGTGTTTTCTTTGACATCATAGCCAATTTAGAATATATAATATTTTTCTAACATCTATCCTTTAGCAATTCAACAATCATCTGATATGTAAAGGCGTGTAATAACTTAAGATCGAATTCTATAATAGATATTAAGCACAATTTATCTTCTTTTATTATGAGAAAACAATATAACAGTTTTAGGGCTAATATAATTATGAATTTGTTCCTATCTATCCTGTTTAGTGTTAAAATTCATATCTGTCCAATTGTTAGGTGCTGTACAATATACGTTCATTTTTGAACTAGATCAGATATGTTTGATTAAATTTATCAGATAAATTTAAATGAAATAAGATAATATTTTAGTGTGATTGTATGCATGTCTACTGATAATACATGCAACTCTAACAAACTATTCATATGATGATGATGATGATCAATGTAATCTTATCAATGATCGAAACTTTCTGATCTTTTTTTTCTTTCGTTTTTTATACTTAAATTAAACTATTTTTAAAAAATAAACGATGCTTACTTCTGGATAACAATAACGGGTATACACGTGCACATTCACATAATAAATGTTTTATTTTTTTCTTAAATAATATCACAAGACGTAAAAAATCTCACAAATCTTTATTTTGTGTTAAAACAATTAGAAATTTTTTTTTTATTGAGAAAAGTTACTCTATTTTGGATAACGGGTGTATGTTTTAGAGAGTCAATATCGTTTGTTTTCAAATGTAGACTTACATTAAATGTATATCGTCTTTCTTTAATATATAATCAGCAGAAGATGCCATAGTTTGAAAGGAAATGTTTTGTTGTAAAATGGAAAATAATATTATGCATACACTATCTATATGAAGAAATTGAAGAGAAAAAAAGAAATTTTATCACGACTGAATGCAAAAACCTGACAATACGTCTAATTGTTATCTATTTTATCTGTTTTTAACGTAAAAAATTTATAAATAAAAAATCTACAGGACAATCACAGCAGGTCAACAATTTCAATTCTTCTCACTTAACGATATTAGACAACTTTTAAGACAATTATCACCACAGTGAGACAGTAGATGATAATATGTGGCTCTTGTTATCATTGTTTTGATAATTTAAAAATTAAATGTTATTTTATTCATATTCGCTAATAGTCAACTTCGTTTAACAACAAGTTTAGCTCGTTAAAGTGTATTTTTACCACGATAACTGAAATAATGAATTTCTTTTTGAATGAATTTTTCTTTGTTCTAATTCTAGATGACTGGCTATTTTTCAAATTTCGCTCCTGTCCCAGAAGAAACTACTTAGTTCTGAAAGACAATTTACAACTAATTTTTCTGATTGTTCAACTTAAAATACGTGGTATAAGATAGTGGAAAGAAAATTTTACAATTCTGAATGTCAGTCTGTAGCTTTAGGTATCTAACTTAATTCAAAACAAAGCTGATTTTCGCATCTTTTATACAGTGTGAGTAAAATAGACCTTACTAACAGCCCTACTTATCATGTTCTTCAGTTTTTGAAAGTTTCATTCCAATCGAATGCAAAGTGTAGAAAAATGCTGTCTTATGAGGAAACATTTTCAGGTATACAATTCTGTTTTTAATGACATCATATCTGTCGATAGAGGAGAGTGTCTTGATAAAAGCCTAAAAGGATGCTTTTCAAAAGTTATGAATTTTTTCTGTTAGGAACCTACAAAAACATTTTGTATCTTAATAAAAACAGCGAATTAAAGTCTGAAATTTTTTTCCATAACTGTGCCTAGTGATCTGTTAATAATATCACAGAAATATTCAGTCTTCCGACATTGCTAGGTAATGAAATTTTTACATTAGTAAAGAAAACTGTGGATTTCCTGAAGCAACATGAGAAACAGTACAAATATTAAACAAATGGTTTTTTCAGCATAAAACAGAAGAATATCTGGAAAAACTTTATATATTCATACCATATATAGTATATGTTAAAAAACCTCTGTTTAATTTTTGTACTGTTTCTCATATTGCTTCAGGAAACTCGTGATTTTCATTAACAATGTAAAAAAATTCAATTACTCATTGCCTAGCAATGTCGGAAGACTGAATATTTCTGTGATATTAACAGACCACTAGGCACAGTTATGGAAAAAAAATTCAAACTTTAATTCGCTGGTTTTATTAAGATACAAAATGTTTTTGTATGTTCCTAACAGAAAAAATTCATAACTTTTGAAAAGTGTAACAAGGACCCAAATCCTTTTAGACTTTTTATCAGGACATTCTCCTCTATCGATAGATATGATGTCATTAAAGACGGAATTGGACACCTTGAAAGGTTCTCTCGTCAGTAGAGGCCTCATTTTAACTAACTGTTTTACAGATGTTTAGTTTATCAATCCAATCAACAAAATACAATTCAACGTTAATAAACAAAATAGAAAAAAGATGTCCATCAATTGTTTGTGATTTCTGACATGTCGTCTCTCGACTCCGATTATGATGGCATATTTTTGGATAGATTACCATCTTTGGTAACATGACTAGGAATAAAAATCTCAAATGTACAGTGTCATTCTCTATCTTCATCCGTCATCAATTATTTAAGAGAATAAAAGTATGGAACTAAATATGAAAAAACAAAAAAAATGATGGTAAAAGAATTTTTTTTTTTCATACGTGATAAGCTTAAGACATAAATAGTGAGACAAACGGTAGTAAAAAAGAAAATTACTATTGATAGATATGTAGATAAGGATGAAAAAGTTATTTTAGTAATGACATTATATTGTCTGATATCTATATAATTATGTAAAACTGAGAAACCACAACTAAACAACATACTATGACCCAGTTGAGTTCACGTCAAATATTTGATGTATATCAACACATTAGAAATCTCGTACAATTTCTTATTTTTTTATTTATTTATTTCTTCTTGTCTTATTCATGTAACACACAATTAAAGCAGAAAAGCTATACTATATTGACTATCGTAATGTCTCAAAAATTATTTTAAAAATAAATCTTCAATATGACAATATTTTTTCTATCTATAATCGCATTGAATAAAGAATTTACATTCTTTCTACATTTTATGGATAACTCAAATTCTAGACGACTAAAAGAAGTATATCTATTTTTTTTATATAGATGCTAACTATTGATATGATACATTGACCTTTCAAAAAATAGTAATAAGCCACTATCATCGTCTATAATTACATCTAAATGTATAACGAGAAAATAAAAAAATATCTGTCATTATAAGTTTGTTGTACAATTATTAATTATCTAACAGAATAGAAATATACATTCCGCCTAATTTTGAGAAGAAAACGAGACTGATAGTTGTTGTTGTTTTTTTTGATAAATTCCATTTAATACCATTTATCATAATCGTGTTAGAAGAATAGAACTAAGTCGGTTATATTATTGACATAAACAAGTGTCACACAGTTATCAGTTATTCTCAACACGATTGCTACAACAGTTTTTATACTTATTCCGTATAGACAATTGCTATTTCTATTGTATGAATTATGTAATATAAAATATATAACGTACAAATATTGTCATTTTATTTTATTAATAGATAGCCTAAAGTGTACTCTTCAAAAGAGATACTCAACGACCTTTTTTTCATTGTTTAAGAATAATATCGGATATCCTGAAATTATTTGTTTAGATACCTCTATAATAATCTATAAAATGAATAAAAATATAGATTATCGATTATTCTGGTGACAATGTTTGTTTTTCCAAAGAAAATTCATAATTCAATAAAAAAATAATCAAAATTAATATAAAACACTAAGAAATATCTTATTTTATCTACTAAATTTGATTCTATATATGAGGTGAGTAGAAAAAAAATTTAATTATTTTTTTTAATATTTATCATAACGGTTTTCAAGACATAAGCATATTTTATAGAACTTTCAAAATAAATTCTTCAGATGATAAAGTGCTTTTTAGTCAAACATACATATTGATCACATATCAAATGTCTATTAGTCATCAGATCTTTTGAGTGTAAGAGTGATGCCAATATATCCCGATTGTAGAACGAAGTTCGAGTCATGTATATGTGGGAAAATGTTTTCGAACTGAAAAAACAAAGTTTCATAGAGACATATAATTCATGCGATGTTACATGTTGAAAATCTTTAAAAATAAAAGTTTTCTATCTTGATAAGAATTTATTTTTCAATCATCTGAAAATTTTTCCACACATATATAACACGATTCGTTCTACAATCTGAAGATATCGAGGGCATTTCTACACTCAAAAGATCCGATTTCTAAAAAATGGCACTTGGAGTGCTTAACAACACTAATGGATATTCGATATATGATCAGTATAAAGAAGAGAATTCATGAAAAAATATGTTTGATTTAAAAAAATGCTTTATCAATTTGGGAGGTTTCCTTGTCAGTAGTTTTCTTTTTTTTTTAAGATAAATAATCATCACGTGATTCTTAGCAGTATATGTATACACTGTACATCAGATATAATACAAATGTATGCCTCGTCGAGGAGATAATTAATCACCGATTATCGCACTATATAGTATATAGTATAAAGATTAAGAGTAAAAAGCCAATTAATTGATAGTCATCTATATTACTAGCATAGTCATTCTCTTGATCTATAAAAAATGCAAATATCGTCTAAAATATTAAATTAAAATTTTAGAACAAATAGAAGATGATGTTTCTCTATTTTGTTTTTTTTTCCACTATGCATAAAATAAGTAATATATACAAGCTCACTATTCTATTACTGATTAATGAATATAATATTCAACGAAAAAAAAAAAAAAAGAGTAAAGATTCTATTAAGATTAAAAGAATAAAAGGATCCTAATCTACTTTTTTTTTTCTTCTTCTAATATCACTTAAAAATAGTTGTCTTAATTTGATATTTTATCGAGATAAAATTATTTATATCTCTTTTTTGTTCATATTTAGTCTGAAGGTGTCAACAAAGACAAGGACAAAACAGCTTGGAAATATTTCTCAATTTTTTTGTATTAAAAAAAATCTGAGCAATCGATCGAAAAAAAAAAATAAATTATTTCTTCTTTCTTTCTCTTTCTTATCATTCAACATGTTGCCAAGTTGTAATTCATATAATTAAGACTATAGCTCTTAAGACAATCTCAATGTTCAAAGGCGTTTTTTTTCTTCTTTTTTTTTTATATTTTTATTTATTGTGTAACAGATGTGAGTTAAGTTGAGAAAAGCCTGCAACAATACTTTTCCTAGGTTTTTTTTTTTTTTTTTTTTTTTAAAAAAAAAAGAAAAAAAAAAAAAAAAAATAAAACTGAGAATACCATTTTTTTTTTTTTATAAGAAAAACAATTAGGTTAAAACCCTATAATAAATTATTTTTTTTTTATATTTTTTTTTTTGTAACAGATGTGTGTTAAGTTGATAAAACCCCGCAAAAAAAATTTTACTATGTTTTTTTTTTTTTTTTTTTTTTGAAAAAAACAGAATCAATATACAAAATCATAAAACTGAGAATTCCATTATTTTTTTTTTATCAGAACAACAATTAGCTATCAAACCTAGAATTCATTCTTTTATTTTTCTATAGACGTATCAACAGGATTTATTATTTTTTAATATGATTTACTATACAAAAGTCTCATGTCTGCATTTTGTCATGAGAAGAAAAAGATGTTGAACACAAATAAATATCACACAATATATGAAAGATACTTTCGTTAATGAAACTAGTATGAAACTATTTGATAGATTAAACTTTGACATGACACGCTTATTTACCGATGTTTATGGTTTCATTCAACACATTTTTTGTCTGATCAATACTTTACTCTAAGGAAAAATTATTAGCCTTCTAAAAATAGTCATAAATTTCTTATTTTTTTTGAAGGTATCTAGTGTAATATTAAAGAAAAATTTATTAATAAAATTACAAAAATGACTTACTTTCGTATAACCGTTGTTGTTGTATGGACAACTTCTCCTGTATTATGTCCATCAATATGACCTTCATGTGGCAACATATGTTGTCTTTCACTTAACGGTACCTCGGATGCTAACATTTATATCGAAATTAAATCAATATACTAAAGATAAGTAAACTTAATTTTTAATTAATTAAACTTTTTTTTTTGATAGTCGTCGTCCTATTTCAGACTTTTTTTATAAAAAAAGTTAAACTTTTTTTTGTCGTCGTCAGCTAAATGTTCTGCTAGAACAAAAAAAAAAAGAAATGAAAGAGAGACAGAGACAGAGAGAGAGAGAGAGAGAGAGGGGGAGAGAACGAGAAAGGAAGAAGGAATTAACCGCACACTAACATAGATACGTCAAATTAGAGAGATAGATGTATATGTGTGGCAGGCTGTTTTTAGAATAACGAGCTTCATATATACTGTGATAAGGAATGTTTTAAAAAAAAAAGAAATAAGTGAAAAAACCGAGATGAGATAGGACAGAGAGAAAATTGGTACTAAAAAAGTAGAGATAGAGAGAGAAAGAGAGAGAGAGAGAGAGAGAGAGAGAGATTTTCCAATTTTTTTTCTTTTATAAAAGAAAATGTAGAACCGGACAATAAGAAGAAAAAAATAGATTTACTATGTAAACGGACGAGAAAAAAAGAGAGTACGGAAAAAACAATAGAGTAAAAGGTTCTAAGAATAGACATTTCTTATACATAGTGTAGCTGGTGGCTCAAGCTCCAATCAGAATTATGTGAATATTCTCATTAGAACATACAGGTTACATTCTTTGTTCCCAATAAATTTTTTCCTTCTCATCCTTTTCCACCTCATTTCACACACTACTGCGTTTTTTTTTTTTTTTCTTATAATGTCAACCACCACAACCACATCATCGTCTGTCTCAAAAAATAAAAAATAAAAGACATAGAAAATCATGAACGAAAAAAAAAAGTAAATTTTTTTGTTCTTATCTGAAAGGTGAATACCGGAAACGTCAACTTTATACATTCTATTATCACTCAACGACGAATGATGCATATGTTCTAACACAAAAGTATATAGGAAAAAGAAGAATCGCATAGCTTCGGGAAATAAAAATTTTACTTTCTTCTTTTTTTTTTTTTTTTGTTTTTAAACTTGAGTTAGACACGCACAGGCGTGCAAACAAAATCTTCTACAATGTCATAAAAAGAGAAGCGACATATTTTACTACTCTTATTTTATTCACACCAACAAAATAATCTTAAAACAGTTTCTGATAATAACGTATAGAAGAAAAAAAAAAAAAAAACACTCGGTCTCGTATTCAAAATCAAACACAATAGATAGACAAAACTAAAATGAAACCACACACACACACACACAATTAATACTTAATATTAAAATGATAATGATATTTTTTGTCAGTTTTTTTTCTTCTTCTTCTTCTTCTCCTTGTCTCAAAATAGAAACGAAGAAAAGAAAAGGTGAATACATCCATCATATTGAAGTCATCTTTAACACCACCTCATCAAGAGATATAAAAACAAAAAAGAAATTTTTTTTCTTTAAAATATTTCTCAAAGTTATCTCGACATAATAATAGTTTAACATTGTCTTCTTTATTTCATTTCAGTTCATTTTTTTTATTATGAATATCTATATAAAAATTAATTTTTTTTATATTTAATTATATTTTTATTTGTTCATATTTTTAATTTGATGTTAATCTATATATTAAGTATAAAATAGAACTATATCTCTCTCTCTTATTCAACTACTTTTTTATGTTTAACATTAATCATAATTGTTAGTTAACCTTTCTTTCTTTTCCTTCTATCATACTATTTTATGAATGATACCTGAATAATTTGAAAATAAGATCGTAAAAAGACAAAAAAAAAAGAGAAACATATATCATTATAGTTCTTTCTAAGATTTTTATACACAAACTATATATAGTAAAAATATGTTGAGACATCCATCTCATCTATCAAAATAAAAAAAAAAAAAAAAAAAAATGAAAAGAAAAGAAACAAAACTCTTCATATGCCGTGCAAACTAGCACTTTAAAGACTTAATTATACATCAAACATTAGAAAAGAACTTTTTTTTCTTTTATTAGACTACTCGTTAAAAAGTGAAATGGTCAATGGATTTATATATAAAAAACAATTTGTCGGGAATCTTCACTTAAAAAATTATTCTATTTTTCTCTTTTTCCTATTAAATTGTTTTGTTTTATTCATAAATATAATTGTTATTATAAAAACTAAAATGTAGTTAATAATAGATATGAAGGAGCAAATTATTTTCATCAAGATATTTTGGCTTATATCCAACAAAAACATAAAGTAATCAGATATATCACACTATAAACCATAAATAATCTTTTCTTCTCTATATATTTATTAATTTTATCCTGTTTTTTTTCTTAAAATAAACTAAAAATGACAGTATTTATATATTGTATTAGTCTAAATGAAGCGGATAAAAAGAACATCTGCGCTAATAATTATTCTATCTCTCGCTTAATAAATGAAACATAAACACATGTAAAAATACATTAGAGTAGTAGTTTGCTGTTGCTGTAAAAAAGAAAAAAAAAAAAGAATTGACTAGTGAAAGATAGAGAGAGAGAGAGATAGAGTCCAGACGTTTTTTTTATTATTGATATATAAACGATGATCAATTAATATTGAACTGCAAAAGAAAAGAGAACGTTTTTTTTTTTTTATCTTCTCTTTTTGTCTCTTATAATAGATAAAAATACCACTGACGAATTAATGTTCATTAATATAAAAGCATTGGGGAAAAAAGGCGCCTATATTTGGTTAACATCTCAATAATTACTCTTATATTTTAAGTAATTTATAGATATTTTGATGTAACGCGTAATACTTTCATATTATTAACTCTTTCAAATGTGTTATTAGGTTGAGGAAAAAGTTCGTGCGCCATGATAAAATAATGATTTTTTATATATTTTTTTTGTGTTTTTGATCTGGTTTTGTGGCTATTATGAAAATTTATTAATTTTTTAAGATGTCTGATTACGA